TACCGTATCTTTCTTGTTTCATTGTTGTTGTGTCAATTTCAACATCTAAGAAGAAGTCAGGTATCAGCGGGTGACCTAAAAGGGAGGACAAACTTAATAGTAAGTCCAAATAAAGTTTGACAGCACAAATAAGAATCTCTTTTGCATGAAACTACAGCCAAGTTCCTAAGTAAATAAACTACAGCTTGAAGGTAAGACATAGCACGAAGTAACATGTCTAGAGTTTGGTTCATTCAAAAATCTAACCTAGAAGCCTCTTAAAGTTGCCACAAAAACATTTGAAAAAGAAGAGGAAAAAACCCCCTCTCTCACTAGCTGGTAAAAGGTAATAGATGCATCTACAATGCAAGTATCTTTCTTTTCATTAAATTATTTTTTAATTTAACAGGCACCTGATAATTAAGAATCTCAGTGGACTCACATGTGCGTTCTGAAAGCTGAGAAAGAGAAACTTGCACAGACTTATTTTATGAGCCCCTAGAAGCAGAACTGTATTAATATTCTTCTTATGGCCTTCCCTCCTTCCTCCTTCTCATCTTAAAAGATATTTTACCTGGTGCAACTGCATAGACATCAAAGTCCTTAACTCCTTCTTCTCTCAGCAGAACTTCATCAATAATAAAGTTTCCAGTGAAACTTTTTGGTTTTGTTAAAATGCAGTATGCAGCATCAGCAAGGATGTCCGTTTTCCTGCACTGTTTTTCTATTCCAGATCCTCCCAGCATATCCATAGCAGCTGTATGTATGGCTAGAAAGTTTGGGGGTTAGAAAACAAAGCTTGAGCACTGATGACATGAAATTCCCATTTCTCTGGCAAGTGAAAAAACTCATTTCCCTTTCACGCAAACTATAGGAAGACAAAGCTATTAAATACTACCACGCAACAACATTGGGACCCATAAAACCACTAACGCACTCCCATAACAGCAGTGGATGTTTCCCTCGATGTCTAGAATCACAGGGATGTGCTGAAGAATCAGAAAGTTGTGGAGGGTGCACATAATGTGCCTGTGCAGAGTATAAATCTGTGTATTTACAAGACACAAGTAATCTTGTAATACTTTCTGCATAAGAAAGTAAGTCAAGTTAGGAATGTTGTCTGCAGCTTGATACTACATCTCCCTGTCTGAATGAGATACTCTGGGTTAACTCCTTCACTGTCCCTAACTCTCATACACAATTTACATTGCTTAACCAGTCAGTCGCCAAAATCCACAAAACAGTAGGTAAAAGATCAGTTCTGCTAATGGAAAACTAAACTATTGCTACACATAGGATTCTGAGGAGATATAAAACCCATTTAGCAGTGGCATTTTAGGGACAAGTCAGGTGGGATGGACCCAGGGAGCTGAAGGCTTTAAGAACCAAGTTTCATGGCTCAATTGAATATGACAAAAAAAGATTCTGGGAAATCTCCACTGAAACTTTTCTAAGGTTTCCCTGGAGCACTCAAGAAGCAAGTGAGTGTTTCTTCTAATTCCTTCAGAAATCAAAAAAATCAAAAGAGATCCAAAATCTGATGTGAGCTTTCATTCCACTTCCAGGAAGGCAATCCAGACCATGAAATTATACATGCAGTTGCCTTCAGTACGTCAAAGATGAAAAGCTTATCATCTTCAAAACAGACAGGTTTTGTGATGACAAAATTATCATGAATGATATAATTATCACTCAGACAGTCAAACCCTTACCAAAATATTTCTATGGATAAAACCCATCCTGTGAGCAGAATTATGAGGCATCCATTTACTGGGAGAACTTAGGATGCAAGCATCCAGACCAATGAAAAAGGACCAGTCTTTTGTCAGACATATCAACTCAATCATCCAACTGAGCATCACCCAGAGTATTTTAAGCGAAGAAACTCAGCTAAGTTTGCCTGAAATAAGTTTTGCTCATATTTGTCACTTTATGGGAAGCAAATCAGAGTCCTGGTCCACATTAAAAGTAAAAAAAGGGGCCTGCAACTCCTGACAAGAAAACATCGAAGTGCCTGGGTACAAAGGTTTCTTACACTGGAGCACTAGCCCCAGAAGAGGATCTTGGTTCCTGTTTTTACTTCCTCTTCCTTCCTCCTTTCCTCCACTAGTTAAGAGAATAAACTCAGCTGTTGTCGTGTTTCACAGTACAATGACTGGGCTCACACCATTCAAGGGCAATGTCTTTACTGACTTTACCACCAGTATCATTTCTGCACATAGATGTATTTGGGGGGAAGAGACTGCCCTCTTTAGCAAACAGCTGACCAGACCCCAAACAGCAGGACTGATCCTCACTGACCCACAGAAAACAAACTGAAGTTAAGACAATGTGGGAGAATTTAGTTGTTTTTCTTCTTTTTTTTTTTTTTCCCTTTAGTTTCCTGTGACTTGCTTCTGTGAACAACTGTTCGCTGGCCCACTGTCACAAAACTTCTAGGGATAGGGTTTTTTTTAAATTATTTCTGCATTTACAGAGGCATATAGCTTGTCAGTTCCATCTACAACCTGGCAATCCAACTAGCAAGGAATTCTAAATAGTAGCACATACACAGGTGTTTAATACCTCCTAATGAAAGCATGCCAATACTTCTGTGATTCTGTCCAAACCAAAACTCTAGGTACATGAGAAAGATCACTGGCAAGACAGATTGAAAACTAGCTGAAGGATCAAAGTGGCAATGGTCTAGTGAGGACTAGGAATTAAAACCAGCACCCATGCATGATGAACAAAGAATATGCAAAAGAACCACTTAGTCTCCTGAATCAGTTCCAGAAGAAATTCTAAATACATTCAAAGTCAAGTAAAACAAGCTGTAGAAGACAAAATACAGAAAGTCATTCCTTTAGCAGAATTTTAAAAAAATAATAAAAAATCACCTGTTTTAGGCCATAAAGCATTGACAGCAACTTCTCCTCTAAATTCTTCTGCCATTCCCAAGACACACATGGACATCCCGTATTTCGAAATGGTATAAGCTAAGACAAGAGGTATGAAAAAAAGATAAAAATTTATGCCATCAACAGAACTTTAATTGTGAAGGAAAGAAAAATCAAATTATTTGTTCATAAGGAAAACTAACTGGGGACAAAACATTATCTTCTCTGCCTTCTACCCACCAGCCGCAGTAGATACAAACTGTAGCCCGCCATGTTTTCACTAGAAATACCATGAGAGCCATACATGTTTTGACAAAAACAATGAATTAGGCCTATCTGTATGACAATTTTGTTGTGCTTTGTATACACAGCACACTGACAAGAGTGGTCAATCTTTTCAAGAGGCAGCTAGTGACCAAACTGGTATTCTACAGAAGAGAAAAAGCGGGGCAAGGAGAAAGAAAAATAAAAAAAAATTCTAGATCTTTGTCATCCACCTATTTTGAAAGAGCAGAAAGAACTACTGGGACTCGCTGGAGGAGTTTTGACAAATGTCCAAAATGGAAAGTGGTGGATTTTTTACAGTTTTAAAAGGAGCAACATTTACCTCAAGATAAAATGAGGTCTCTTTCCCACCTCAAAATAAATTTCCATTTTAAAAGACAACATTGAGCTTTAGCTCCATTAAATCAAGCTGAATTGGTAAGAAAATAGGAAGTTTGGGTTTCAATCTCTATTTGGAACAGAAAATATTCTGTGGTCTCAAGAGTTCCCAAGAAAAAGCACAGATTGTTGAAAATATTCTTGAAAACATAAAGGACGTATTAGGCCTATGTTTTCCCACAAAACAATTTATTTTAATTTAGGTACAAAAGACTCTTGGGAATCGTTAATGCCAGCCTGTATATAACACTTAAAATACAAAACCTGACATTCTGGGCTGGCACTCCTGCATATTTCACCAGATATTTAAGTGGTTCTCAAAAAATAACAAAGGCTCTGATTGTAACTCACCACAATGATTTTTGAACCACATGGGATTCAGATTCATAGGTGGGCTAAGGTTCAGGATATGGGGGTTCCTACTCTTCCTCAAGTAAGGAAGGCATGTTTTAGACCTGAAAAATAGATTCAGACAAATAAGTCACCTCTTATTTTACGGCATACCTATAATTACAGTAGAAACCACACAAGCAGACCAGAATTTTCATTTTCATGAAGGTTGAACACTAAGCTAAGACTTTGCTCCCGAATTAATTGTTTAACTAATACAAAGAACAACAAAAAAAAACCCCTGTCCTAGCTTGCTCTTCTGAGGCCTAGTATTCATTACTGCTAAGCGGACAAGATTATCCAAATAGCAACATCTTCTAAAGCTGATTTTTCATACTCAGAAGCCGTAATTTCCTCGTAATAGTTCTGATAGAGGCAACAAAACATTATGAGGCAACAAGCACAATTAACAGTGCAGAGCATCACCTAGTCATAAATATATTTTCCTCTTTAAAGCCATGTTAAAGAAATAATACTGTAAAGTGAAAATCTATTACAAATATTCTAAACCAAACTGAAAACTTACTCTCCGTGGACTGGAAGAGACACTATTTCATTCAACTTAGAATTCACACTTATCTGTGTATCATAATTAATTATATGATATGATATGATATGACATCACATCACATCACATCATCTCATATCATCTCATCTCACATCACATAATATATAACATTAATAATCATATATAACATTAATAATCATAATATCTGTGTATCAACACTCATCCGTGTATCATAATTTTTACCTTACAGAGACAGGCATTTGATTTCACCTCTAGCACTAGGGTACATGTTTGCATTTGATCCCTGCTGCAGAATTTTTAATCTAGCTTTGTAGGGACAGCAGCACCACAGCAGACTACACCACTAACCCACAGTTCACACGTTTCAACAGGACCCACACGTACTGTGAGCCACAGAAAGGACACTTTCAGCTACAAAATCATTAAAGTAGTAAAGTAAATCATTTACTGCTTTCTTAAATGTCCAGGGGTCTCAACTTTTTTTCAGTGGCAGCGTGTGAGGTTCACTAACAGATGCCTCAATTTCTTAATGCACAGGAACCAAGGATATATGTCAACAGGTATACTCTGTGAAACATCCTCACTATCTCCTCCATACAGACAAAAATTCCACATCTTTTTTTTTCAGCTATTGTAACTTCCTGAACACAAACTGAAAACAGATCTCCACAAATTGTGAACAGAAGTAACACACAAAGCAAGGGGAAGAAAAGGCTGAAACACTTGACTAGGTCTTCCCAAATGACAGTTACAAAAGCAATGACAAAGACTATTTGTAATTTCCCAAGAGGCATTAATCTTTCATATATGCCTCCATTCACAGCAACACAGACCTGCTTTTTAATCTTTTTAAGGCAGAGCAGCATCCAAAGGAGAGATGACTTTAAGTATTCTCCACTAATCTGGAACAGCTAGATGTAACATCAAAAAAGTGATTGTTGCTGTTGAGCGCTGAGAGGGAAGCGGAGCTTGCAAGGCAGTGAAACGCACTCAGAGATTCAGCAAGAGATACCCACAGAGCATTTTCTGGAATGCCAAGCTCTGAAAACAATTTTCCCTTCTGAGCACAGAACCTCTTGCAGTTACAGCCTTTTCAAAAGCAGACATCACAGGCTGCAGGCACAGAAATACCACTCTGCAAGAAGAGTCTTTCTTTCTTCCACCCTCTTTCTCTCCTCACGCAATTTACATGCTTTGCACATCACTTTGATTCAGAAAGCTGCTACTCATGTGTGGTTTTACATGACTGTAATGGCAAATCCGTTCACCGATTCTTAGCAAAAGAACTTTAAGGAATATAATCATCAGATTCAGATGCATAAATGAGAATAACAGACACTATTCTAGATAAAAGTTTGATGAAAAAGCTCCTGATCACATCAAGGAACAACTCAATTTAGAGAATCTGCATCATCCTAAGGGATTTTCCCTTTTTAAACACAACTCCCATCAAAACTGAAGTCTTCTTTTTAGAACAGAGAGGCTTTAAATGACATCCTGTAAATCTAAACATAATCCCACTTCCGAAAAATGAGCAAAACAAGAGCCACAGAGATTGCAAAATCAAATCTCTGTATGTTAATTTAAATATATGATAGAACTGATAGGCTGAAAGTAGGCAGAGAACACTTCACATTCTTAAGTTAAAGAAGTAACACTTCCCTTCTAACTATAGTAAATTACATAATGTCTCTAAAGAGAAAAAGAAGCTTACGAGAAAGAAGCTGACAAGATGTCGCACTGGATGTATGCACAGAGTTAGTTATTTTGTTTGAGAAGAAAGAGCAGATAGCAAAGCAAAGCTGGAGCTGCATTTGAAATAAACTAGTTTCTTCTTCCTACCTCCATGGAGGGGCTTGTGAACACTTAATGAACTACAGTGATACGGTTCCTGTTTAACTTGCAATTAAGTCTTGCAAATATTAGTTTCACATCAGTTGGCCAATAATTGAGCCATTTCCTGTGAGCAGTGCAGAATACTTGCGCTCCAGCCCTAGGGCAGCAAGACAGCTACAGAAAAACTCAGAAAAACTGAGGTAACATCATATATTTTGTTACAATTATTTTGCTTTCTTCTCTCAGCACTTACGCAAGATAGGTTCCTCGTACATTGACATCCATCATAAGATTCATTTTCTTCGTATCTGTTTCCAAAGTGCCAGTCAAAGAGATGGCGCTTGCATTGTTCACCAAAATATCAATCCCTGGTTTTAAAATAAGCCATTTCACATTAGCATTTAAAGACAAAAAGCATAAGTAAGGCAGGATGTTCTTTTCTCTTTTTATTTGAACAATCTGCCTGTTTAATGTCTCCCCAGCGTGCGAGCTTACCTCCAAAAGTCTTCACTGCTTTCTCCACGGCATTAATAATTTGCTGTTCTTCCCTCACATTAACGATGCATGGCAAAGCCTTTCCTCCAGCCGCTTCAACTGCACAGTTAAAAAAATTAGGCATTTAAAGATTTGCAATCAGATGGACAAATAGCATGAACCTACGGAGAATCTCTCAGTTACATGCTTCAAGAGGCATCAAAAATCACACTCTAAACTTGTGACCTTTTTATGCATTACATAATGAACAGGGAAGCCAAAACCAAATCTTAATACTGAAAATGTGTATGGTACACACATCTATCTCAATTAAAACAGCATTTTCACATCTATACTCATACATCTTCTTTACAATAATATTTTGATATCTCCCAGCATTCCTGGGAGGCATGAGAAGCACTAAGCTTCTTTTATTAAAGGTGAATTGGAGGCAAGAGCCTATGCAGTTTTCCACTCAGGTATGACAATTAAGCTAAGGTGTACACCTAGCCCAGCACCCGAAGCCCTCTCTCATTTATTACAACTTACTCTCTGCTGCTGCAGTGTAAATAGTCCCAGGGAGTTTAGGGTGGGGCTCCGCTGTCTTGGCAGCAATCACAATGTTTGCACCATCCTTGGCAGCTTTCAAAGCAATGGCCTTGCCAATGCCTCGGCTTGCGCCTGTGATGAACAGAGTGCATCCTGCTAGTTTCCTAAAGGTGAAGGGGAAAATGGAGGGTAGAGAAGAGGGAGAACAAAGCAAAACCTGTAAAACATCACCTTTTGGTGAAAGTAATTAGCACAGTCGTCCAACCAGACAAATGCCATCATCATTTTAATAAGAAAGCAGCCCTAAAATACAAAAAGAAATAGTTACAGGGAAGTAGAGTACCGCTGAAGGTAAGGCCACTCTCCAGGTGTGCAAATACTATAAAGCAAGAAGGTTACAGAGCCCACAAAATTACTTTTCTCCCTTTTTGTAAAATGATCCAACACACACTGTTGGTTGTCTCCAACAATGGAAAAGGATAACGTTGGAAAAATGAAATGTCAGTTTCCAGTGAGACAATACACCTATGCAGCTGTTAATTTACTAACCACAGCCACCTCAACCCAAAAAACTGCTGTCTCAATGGGGTATTAAGTTCAAGTCCAGAACTGCCACGCCAATGCAGGGTGCCACATACCCAGGAAAGAAAAAAATTTATTTTCAGACGTGGGACTTTTTTCTCTTATGTGCTTCACACTAAGCTCAAGAGTTTCCCAGTAACTACTTCTAATCCAATGGGTCAAAAAAAAAAAAACAAACTCTGGAGAAACTACCAAATTTTAGAGTGTCAGAAAGTTGTCTGGCTTAAACAATGTCACTGCGTTTTTGAAAAACAGATCAGCTCCAGTTTAAAGTATATTTGACAATAAGGCCTCCTAGATAACAGGTTTCTCATATGAAGGAATATGCAATTCAGTGCTCAGCATTAAGCTTCTGCTGCTTTCCTTAATTCTGTGGAAAAAACCACAAGAGGTCCAAGTTTTAAACTCCACTTAGAGAATGCATATAAACTATATGCTACAGCAATTTCACTTTTCACTCACATCACAAATGTTATATATCAGCCCCTAAGCTTGCATTAGTTTTCCTTTCAGTCTGGGCCAGACTTGCCCTATTACTAACTCTCCAGGTCTGTTTTTTCCCTCCAACCCCAGAGCATCCCTTTCTAAAACACTCTCTAGGAGGGTGTCAAAGGCAGAAAACTGAGACGAGGCAGGGAGAGGAAGGGAGCCTCCCCTGAAGTGGCACGGTCAGGCATGTGCAGCGTCCCAGAAGTCAATGAAGCCCTGTAGGTGTCATTTCAAACAGCTTTTGTCTGCAAAATTGGGTCCCAGAGAGAGAGGAAGAAAAACCTCAAACCAGCACAACAGACAACAAGAAACTACTGCAAAGAGTCAAGTCACATGCACAGTAAGGAAAGTTCATCTATGGAATACAGAGTCAGACTATAAAACTCAGCTAAAAAAGGCCAGAACCTGGTTTCTACCTTTAACCACCCCATACAAGATCACCAGACCCCAACTCAGCCAGGGAAGTGGTAGGTAGGGTCAAGCAATAGGTAGCTCTGAAGAACAAGGAAGCTGAGGAAGGCTGGCAGGGCTTTAAGCCCCTCCAGAGCCAAGAGTGATCCGTTCAGGAAGACAAGCAGATGTACCTGGAGACCTGCACTGCTATGCAGGGAATTCATGACTCGGCTTCCATATACAAAGGCGACAACACGGAATCACAGAATCACAGAATCACAGAATGTCAGGGGTTGGAAGGGACCTCCTGCCAGAGCAGGATCACCTAGAGCGGGTCACACAGGAACGTGTCCAGGTGGGTTTTGAAAGTCTCCAGAGAAGGAGACTCCACAACTTCCCTGGGCACCCTGTGCCAGGGCTCTGTCACCCTGTCTTGACCCCCTTATAGCTGACAGAGGTTCAAGTCAAGGTGATTCGTTTTGATCACAGAGATGAAATTAAGACACAAACGGTGTCAGATGTCACAAAAGCAAAACCCTTTATTGACTAACAGCCACTGGAGAGCGATAGGAAAGAAAGATAAGGAAAAGGAAAAGCAAAGCAGTAAAAGTTCAAGATAGCAAGAAGTATAGCTACCACCACAGATCCAGTGACGTCTCGCAGGTCCGCGTGTTTCGATTCGGTGGGGAAGATCTTCAAAGAACTGTTCACGGTGACATTATATAGTGTTCCAAGAGCCGCTTTGCCTACTCTTTGTCTGTTTGGTGCATGAGTATGAGGGTTGTCAGGAGTGATCTTCACCCCCCTCAGCGTCGTCTCCATCAGTGGAGCATGCGTAGGTATCCAGAGGGTCCAATTTTGCCTTGCAGGGCCGCTACCTTATCCACAGTTAAACAAGTGGGCTTGCACACTGGTGGGCTTGCAAGACAGCTGCTATATCGGCAGTTGAGCCAAGCCCAGAAGGTGTTGTTCAGGACTTCGAGCCTCGTGGTTTATCTGGGCTGGGCCCTTAAGTTGTTGTTTGGGACTTATCAGTGGTCCAGGCTGGCAAACACCAGCCTTGAAGTTTCTTCACGGATAGTTTCAGTGAGGTTGAGACAAACATTTTAACACAGTCTCTTACACATCCTCACAGTGAAAAAGCTTTTTATAATATTTTTGTGGAACCTCCTGTGTTCCAGCTTGTACCCATTACCCCTTGTCCTGTCATTGGACATCGCTGAAAAGAGCCTGGCTCCATCCTCCTGACACTCACCCTTGACGTATTTATAAACACTATGAGGTCACCCCTCAGCCTCCTCCTCTCCAAGCTAAAGCGACCCCGCCAGGGAGATGTTCCACTCCCTTCAGCATCTCTGTGGCTCTGCGCTGGACTCTCTCCAGCAATTCCCTGTCTCTCTTGAGCTGAGGGGCCCAGAACTGGACACAAGATTCCAGATGTGGCCTCACCAGGGCAGAGTAGAGGGGCAGGAGGACCTCTCTCGACCTACTAGCTACTCCCCTTCAAATACACCCCAAGATGCCATTGGCCTTCTTGGCCACGAGGGCACATTGCTGGCTCATGGGCATCCTGCTGTCCACCAGAACCCCCAGCTCCCTTTTCCCTACGATGCTCTCCAGCAGGTTAGGCCCCAACCTATACTGGCACATGGGGTTGTTCTTTCCCAGCTGCAAAACTCTACACTTGCCCTTGTTGACATACAAGGAGTGGGAGCAACGACAGGCCGCAAAGGAGGAATTAGAAACTTCACCGAGCATGATGGGGTGGTGTCAGGAAAACCACAGTTCACCTGAAGCTGAGGACTGTGAAACACATCAAGGGCACAGGTGCTGGGGGCAGACAAAAAACAGTTTATAAGAAAGAAGGCAAGGCTTCTATTCAGAATGTCCCTGACAGGCTGGATGAACGGAAGCCTTGTGAAATTTAAGATCAGATGCACAGTCCCGCACCTAGGAAGAACGAGTCCCTGCAACAACACAGGCTGGGGACTGAACGGCAGCAATTGCTCTCCTTTAACAGGCTTGGGGGACTTGGCAGAGGTCAAGCTGAGCACAAGCCAGCAGTGTGCCAGGCAACAGACACCAGCAGCATCCTGAGCAACAAGAACACTATGACCAAAAGACTGAGGGAAGGGATTATGCCCCTCTGTTTGGCAGTCATAAGGTCACACCTGCATCTTGCAACCCGTTTTGGGTCCCTCAATACAAGGTATGTGTTGACAAGGAGCAAGTTCTCTGAAGGGAGACAAAGATGGCTGGAGGAGCACTCCTGTTGAGAGAATCATTTCAACCTGCAGAACAGATTTGGGGCGACCTAGCAGCAGCCCCCTAACACCTATGCAGTGATTGATGAGACGGAGCCATGCACAGGAACATAAGAGAGAACAGGCCCATTCAAACTCAAGAAAAGAAAGGTTTGATGTGGAGAGGTTCAGACTGTCCTCCTCATGATGACAGCAAGAAAAGAGAGCAAGGGACTCAGTGGTTTCCAGCCTTGGATTTTTTTGAGACCTAAATGAACAAAGCCCTGAGCAACATGTCTGACCTGGCTTTCAGCAAGAGGGACCTCTTTATGTCCCTTCCAATCTGCATTACCCAGGGTACCAATCTGGAACAGTTCAGACACAGGGGGGCTGGCTAGCTCAGTCAGTTAGAGTGTGGTGCTGATAACACCGATATCGCGGGTTCGATCCCTGCTCGGTCCCCATGTGTTGCCTGATCTAGTTGAGAGGCGTCCCTGCCCATGACAGGGAGGTTGGATTAAATGATCTCTAAGGTCCCTTCCAGCCTAGGCCATTCTATGATTCTACGATTCTATGAATTTCTCTTCCCAAATTATTATTCTATTCAAAACGTCAGGAAACATTCCATCATTTTAGTTACACTCTCTCTAGTTTTCCTCTCCAAGCTTTCCAACAGTGGCTATCACCCTCAGGTCTTTTTTTTTTCAGCACATCTGCATCTCCAGCCTACATGAACTTCTTCTTTCTCTGTAGGCTTACAATCACCACTGGCTACCTTCATTTTCTGGAGCTCCTTTACTTCAATTCTAGCTCTACAATCCCCAACCTTGTCCCTAAAGCCCACAGAAATAATGCTCACCCAAATAAGCAAAGCTCTCAAGAGGAAAAATTCATTTTCACTTCACCCCATCTGAAATATTGAACTGACCTCACATCAATTTTTTTAAAAAACATTTTTGCTTCTTCCTTAATTTCTTTTAATTGTCTCATTTAAGAGATTTCATTTATCCTCTGCAAGCTGGTGTGACAACATCCACAATGGCAGGCGCAACAAACTCTTAAAATATTTAGTGTCCCCAAAAGAACAGCTGAGCATTCTACTCTCCCAAGCAAGCTGACAAGGTTCCAAGAATTACGATTTATTTCTTAACTCACTTTGGGCTCCAACAGTTTACAAGTTTTTACACCATGTGCTCATCTAAAATTGCTAATGACCTGTTATGAAGGTTGCATCTTTATTGCTTTCATCACAGCTCAATTCTGGTAGTAAGACAGAAAATGTTAAATTCCCCTCTGTGCCCTGCAGACTCAGAGATCTTGAAAAAACATAAGTTAATTTCTCAGTAACCATGACTGCTAATACAGAAACCTGCAGGTCACACCAAGTACACTTTTTACAGCTTGCTTACATATATATTAGGAATTTAATGATAATCCTGTTTGTAACACAGAGAACAAATAATCCAAATTTATGCCCCTGGCTGCTAGCAGTGCTGGCTCTGAAGAAAGA